TGGGCAGGAAGAGAGGCGCAGGAAAGTGAAGAGAAAAGCGTTTTGCAGAAGTGGTGCTCGCCACGCAGCCAGAGCACAACAGACTCTCGGTGGTCATTTTCTAACCCTCTATATGCCACAATACCCAGATTACCAAAGGTGAGATTTAATTAATTCAGGTATGACAGAAAACAGAGTTATTTGCTACTTCCAGATCCTTTTTAATAAAAAACAAAACCAAACCAAAACAAAAAAAACGCCACACAACAAAAATCCTTGGATTAAAAGCATCTGCTGGGTAGAAACAGGGACTTGAAATCAAACAGGTCCCTCTTTCTGCATACAGAGCAACACCGCACTGCTCTGCTGCAAGAAATCAAATCAAATCAAAAGGGCATTTTGCACCCATTCAGACAGCCTCTTGGAGGGCTGTACAGAGAGAACATCTGTGGACTGACTTTATTCCCAATTTTTAAGCTTGATTACTAGCAGATCTTAAAATAGCTGCTGGATGTTAAGCTGTAAATAAAATGTGCAGTCTAACAAAAGATGCAACCCTGACATTTGTGCTCATTCTGTAATCATGGCTTATTATCCCAGACTATTTTTTTCAGTGGTTTCTATTCATTTGAAATCATTCTGTACAGGAACAAGCCTCTTGCTAGAGCGTTCTATAACAAGTTATTGCTATGAAAGCATCTGTATTTCAGGCTGGATGAGGACACAGGTGATGCATGCATGCAACTCAGGACCACGTAAGTTTTATAGAGTATCTACATTTAATATACATCTTAGGCAAAGTAGATGTCGGTACTCGTATATAAAAATACACCATTTTCAAATAACTAAGGTTACGGCAGGAACACCCCAGGCAGGAGCGGGACAATGCTCTATAGGACCCACCTTAAACAAGACAACAGTCTGTACCTCAAGCAGATTACAGCATTTTAATCTCTCCCAGTATTCAGCTTCCTTTCCAAATGCATGCAGGCATCTTCTTGAAAATTCGGGATTTAAAATATGTTTTTGTTAATCCACAAAGAGAAAAGATTAAACGTCCTCTTATAAAAGGGGTATATCTGGTTTTCTGCACAGTGACAGGCAAGCAGAGTAAACCCATGCATAGAAACCGGCTAAAAAGCATGACCTGAAATTCCAGAAGATGAATTACACTGAATGGGAAACTTTTTTCATATATACACACTTGGCTATAAGGCAAAGGAAGCAATGGAGCTCTGGTCAGAAGTAACGCAAAACTTGCTGGAGTGTTCATTCAGTCCAGATACTTACACTAAGAAGTTTACCAAGAGCAGTACGCACAGAAAACGTGTAAGACTGCAGGCAGCGACACGAGACACACGTTTGCATTTAACATTAGATTAAGGGCTTCTCCTGCTAGAAGCCCGTTGTAATTATCTTCTAGTATTAGCTGTCAGCTCGCAGGTGTCAAAGGGCATTTCAGACAGAGAATCCTCATTTGAGTTCTCAGATATCATCTCGCATCCAAATGCAAGGTTGTTTCTTTTGTTTACTGCAGCGTGGCAGGGCCTTTTAATTTTTGCCAGCCATACATATTAAAGCTCTATTTGCTTGATTTAATTTAGACTTTCTGAAAGGTGCCAGCTAGTCACTGACTTCTGGCACACAGGGAGAGTAAGTCTGCAGCCAAGAACCCTCCTTTCCTACAGCCCGATAGGTAAAAACCTTCCTGTCAGTACAATTAGAAGAGTTTCCTATAATCGCTTCTGCAGGCTCTGCTAGCTGAACGTGTCCTTGGGGCTAACTGTAAAGCTAAGTTTACCAGGCCGGGAGCGAAGATCCTAGTCCCGTAAGCCAGAGTGGAAAAGAAGGATGTGCCCCAAGAACTGACTTGAGGCGCCTCTGAAGCTGGACAAAACGTCACAGATGAGATTATTTTTTCACCTCATTCATTCTCCTGCTTCCCACTTACCCTCCCAGAGAGCATCGTACCGTCCCCGACCTGTCTGCCTTGCAGCCCGCCTCTGCCAAGGTGATGCTGTAATGGAGCGCCGTGCCCTGGCCTCTGACAGCAGCAGGAGGATCTCGCCCTCACAGCTGTCCATCAAATCAGGGTTTGCTCCCTCCCCAGCTGTACCAGTGCAAGTTCATTTGCAAGCCTTCTAAACAAGACCTGTGAAGTGTTTGCCCCCCCAAAATACCTTTCTTTAAAGGAAAAAAAAAAAAAAAAGACTTTTTTTTGTTTTAAATATGGAATATTTAAGATCTAGCTTCAAGCGCACCACAGACATCAGGATTACTACCCTGCACAAGTGAGAGCAGATGAGGAGGGGCACCCCAACCCACGGGGAGAGCCGCTGCTGCAACCAGCCCGCAGGCGGCCGGCGGCCCTGCCACGCTGGGCACAGCTGGGCACAGCGGCCTCGGGCAGCGCAGCGAGGGGCAGTGGACGTCTCGGGAGATCAGGCCTAGGGGGGCGGGGGGGGCCCTAACTTCAGGTGACTACGGTCAGCCTTAATTCACTCCTCCACGTGAAGCAGCTTCTAAAATAAGACCATTTCCTCACAGTCATCATATTAATTTAAATACAAACTCTCTTTTCATAAATGCAGCAAATATACACCCACAAATACACACTTTTAGAACAGGAACTTCATGAAACAACCAAGTGAGCTGAAGCATTTGAAAACTACTTCCATCTACAAGCTCCAGGCAGACTTCTTGGTTTTACTCAGTTGTATTAACCACCACACCTTTATCTATAAAGCATTCTTCTTTATTTAAGTTAAACAATTTTTCAAGGATGGTTTCCATCTATAAAATGAACAAAGTACAAGCTCTGTACAGCAGACTTTTCAAACCAACTGAAAAAACAGTTTCCAAACTATGTTTTGAAAATCTGCAAAACAAACAGTATCACCATTCTTGCTCTGAAGACTGTAAGAAACGTTCTCAGGAGACTCCATCGCAATTTGCTTCAAGGGCTCTTAATTTATCTTTCGAATGGGTGAATTTCTTCAACATTAAAAACCCCTAAAATCACAGTAAGTAACTTTGGCACGCTGTCATGTAAACATAACGAAAGGATACCATTTCTTGTCTGTTCTCTCAAAGAAAAACAATGCTGTCTTTAACATACAGCTCCTCTATTAAAACCCCTGTGCACAGCATCCTTGGGGAGTTAGAGAAAACCTCCTACTTTATATGATAGCAGTTGACATTAAAGACTTAAGACATGGAATATGGATTTTTTTTTTTTTTTTTTTTTTTACTAGCAATTCTGATTCAGAGTTAAAAGGCAGGTCAATATTCAGAGCTGCAACTGCTGATTTCAGTTAGTACTGCCCTTCCTATGGTCAACGTTGCAAATGGAAATACCTCCATGGTAGAAGCTAAGTGGTTGGGGTTCTTGTTTTTCTTTCAAATTCCATTTTTTTCAAAACCTCAAACAATTGACTTGCTGCTGAGCCCATATTTCAGCATTTATTTTCCAGAATATGAAGAAATCTACTGCTACCTTTATGATCACGTTCTTCAAGTTCTCAACTAGGTTAAAAGGCTACAGGTAGGGAGAGACTAAAAGCTGAGAAATAGTTTATCCACTGTATGGCCTCTAAAACAGTCAAGTTTTGGAGAAAGTGGATTGTGAAGAAGCAAAAGAAAAAAGTATTAATTATTCATAAAAAAAGTCAGATGATGGATGGCAGAAACTGGATTTAATGCCCCCATCCAGAAGGTACGCAGGTACTTGCAAGTCCTAACTTCAGACACACAAGGTATTTAGGGGCACATTGACTGGCGCAGTTAAAGCCATTTTGCCCAGAAGAGTACCACCTCTATGCCTAATGTACAGGTGCAGCCAAAGGAAACTGAAGAAGAAAAAAAAAAAAAAAAAATTTAATCGGGAACTACTCTACTTCCAGGAACAAAGAAAGAGGGGAACTGTACCAGCATCCTGCAATATAACAGATGTTTTTTCATCTCCTTATGATCAACCCTTGTGTTTTTCGAGATCCATCATCTTAGCAAAACCACTGCACGTCTGCGCAATTTCTGTCAATGCTGTCTCACTTATTAGTACTTATTTACCTTTCTTTTTCATTTTAAAAGCTCATTGAAGCATTTGCTTTTAATAAAAAAGTATATAGTCTATGCAAACATAAGAAAGGACAGGTCAAAGTTTGGGTTAACTTTGACAGTATTATTTTAATATAAAAATGACATCAGCTGGACTGAAGCTGCAAAATGCACGGGTTCTATGGTTAAAAACATATAGGATCTGCTGGTATCCAGGCTGATTCCCAGAGCCAAGCCTGAATCCATTCAAAAGCTCCATTTAAAGAAATAAAACGGAAGAAGATTCCCCAGTAGTAGGTCTATAAATTAAAGCAAGTGCAATTCAGAGATATTACACAGCTGCTCATCCTTGCAAATTAAAATTCCGACCTTGTGCTGTCGACAGTGACATTACTATTCTATCTTATTTCTACAACTCAAAGGGGGAGTTTGAGACAAAGAAATTTTTCTCATTAGGGCCCAGAATAAAACTGTGCTGAACCCACACGGCTGCATGAAAGATCTGCACTGTTTATATAATTTTGTAACAAAGGAAGAAGTATTTTAAGACAAAGTACGACAGAAATGATCAACACAAATATCAAGCACAAGTTTAACGTTATCCAGAGCACATGTAATGAATTTCCAAGTTGGAATAAACAATCCGAGCAATCACCTGTGCAGATACATTGGCTTGTTCTGCTATTTTCTTTCTCCTCCTGAGTTTCACGATCTCCAGTGAGGGTGAAGTGTTAAGAAGTAGATCCAGTTTGCAAAGCAAAAGCATCCAGTGTTAGCACGGACATCATACTCAGCAGCACAAAATCCGCACCTTCATAAAGTTTCGCTCTCCTAGCATTCCCATCCAATTTCTGGTTATACATACGTCAATCACTTCGTTGATAATTATAGGATGATGAAAACTGATATAAATCATTGGGAGCTGACAATATATATACTTTTATATATTTATATTTAGAGTCCACCATAGAAAAGTTCATATTCAAATTACCAAGTACACACAGGAGGAAAAAAACCTTCAAAATGACACTTCTGTTTCTGGAAACGACAAACCATGATTTCTATGCAAATGGAGATTTCAAATTTTTCCCACCCTCCCCTCCCACACCCTGTTCCCCACAGGTGTTTCTTCAGATCTTTTTTTTTTTTTTATCATACATCAGTTGTTCCTAGAGTTAATTATCTGCTGTGCAAGTACGTAACTGAAGACAGAAAGGAACCGTTGAAGTCTTCGCACCAAGAAGGAATCGTGCTGCAGTCATATTCAGTGACATCTTTGCAGTGCTCCAAGTCCCCTGGATCCCTGGTGTCTGCTTCAGCACTCTCCTACTTTCAGATAAAGGTGGAATACTGAGGTATATAAGTTCCGTGGAAAGTTTTAAGAAATACATCAGTAATTCATTCAAAACTTTGCCCAAGGTCTATGAATTGAAACAGCATTTTGCTTTTAAGTCCTTCTACTGCTGCAGATTAAGTGTGAATTTCCACTGTTGTGACAAAGAAGGACTGCAGATCTCAACGGTGAGACCACCATTTTTGGCGTTTCGGCTGTCTAGACAGAGGTTGCTGCCAACGTGCCTCAGTTTGGAATTGCTTTCAATTTGTTCCCATTTCTGCAAGAGAAAATACAGTTATTGAGCTGGAAAAGCAGGAAAAAGACGAGTTCTACATCTTGTCCTTTGAAGCCTTCATAAGCTTCTCTAGCTTGTGCTTGGGACGGCTGTGAAAAGTGCAATAATAGTACACAGCTTAAATGATCCTTGAATATGGAGTATATAAATTATGGCATGCCTTGCCAGAACAACTGTTCATTCAGCTAACACACAGCAACAGATACAGAATACACCAAATCGTTTTCCTCTACTTCAGCACTTCTCAAGTATGCTGTCACACCACGTTGCCTGTGTGAAACCTCCGGTCTGAAGAAACAAAAATCACAAAAAACATCCACATATCCCTACAATTCCGAACACAGAGAAGCAAGAAGCACGATCACTAAAGACAACTTTACATCAATCCAGAAATCTGTCAGACCCCTTTCAATTATACAGAAGACAACCAGTTAATCTGTGCTGTCAGAAGCTCTTTGCCCAAGGGGATGCCAAGGATAGAGTCAATCCCAAATACAGGATGTTAAGAAAAAAAAAAGGGTTTTTTCTGTTGTATTTCTAACAAATTGTGCCTTTAAACCTCATCAAGAAAAATCTTGCTTCCCTTTTCTGGAAAGCGGCAAGAATATTCTTCCTTCATCGAGGAATAGCATTTCAGTTATCTGTCTGCAAATACTGAGATACTGAAGCAAGGAAGCTGGCAGACGATCAGAACGGATGACTTAGCAGAAAGAGATGAATTGTTATACAACTAGATCAAAAAGATGGTGTGACTCTGCAAATGTGATTTTCCTCAGGCATGGGAAACAGATGAAGTTACAATGCTGCATTAATAAAAAAACACTGAAGGAGTCTAGTGCTGTTGTAAACAGGTCACAGCTGAAAGGAAGAAAGGAAAGCCAAACCACACTCTTCTGAGACACAGACTACATAATCTTCAAACTTCAGTGAAGAAGACCTTTCAAAAATCCATTGTGGAATATATATTCTATTTCAGAAAACAGACATAGCAGTTGAAGACTGCTATCAATGCTATCGGAGTTGAAGACTGCTATCAGCATCAACGCTGTTGGGTGAAACCTTTCTATAAGGCCAGTATTGGGATAGCACCTCTGTATGTTCACAGAACATTGTCACTGACCTATGAAAAGCAAAGCTCGGTACACAAGCTTGTTCCTGCTGCTCTGCCCAGATGTCATGCGTCCTAGCTTTGCACACACAAACAACAGCGAGACAGAGTGAAGAGCAGAACGGACGGCAGATACGATTACCACTGCACGTTCTTGCATTCTCATTCACGACCCTTGTTTTCCCACTGTTTGCAGAGCGCATTCGCGACATACTAACCTGTCTGCTGTCGTTTTCCCTTCCCTACAGCCCTGAAGTTTTATTAGTGAACCAGGTGCTCTGTCCACAACAGTAAGGCACAAATCCATATGTTTCACCGACTTGTCCTTTGTCAAGGCCCACTCCTAGAAAAAAGGAAGAAAAAAGGTACAAAATTTTGTATACTAACATATGCACAAGGTACACATGCTATCTCTGCATATATAGCACAGGTTAAAATCCTGTAAATGGCTATGTATGAGCATTCAAACAGTTCATTGCTTCCCATACAGCAGGAGAGGAAAAAAGGTCTTTTTCAAACACAGTAATCCCAATTGCTTCCGAATCCGCAGGTCAGCTCAGGGCTGGGCTGGCTGTTTGCTCCCTCTGCTGGCTTTACACAAGCACAACGGGGAGTCACACAGGCTCTCAGGTTTAAAATATTTGTCCAAATATTCGTCCAGTTATATTTTTACCTATCTATATACATATGTTTGTGTGTGCGTATTACACACCCCTCATATCTTCTATGTAAGAGATCTATATAAATGTAAAAAAAATTTATATATAAAAACTCTAAAAGCTTGGGCTGCCGCATCACTGGCCACCATACCTACACACTAAACAAAGCATAGGTACCACAGAGTAGTTCTTAATGTGATAGAGGCCACCAGAAAGCAACACACAAGTGGGCCAAACTCAAGGGTAGAGGGAGAATGTTACTTCCTATCCAAGGGGTGATGTACAACAGAATTTCTTTTAAATGCATTTAAATATGCAACTTCTTAAATAAAGAGCAAAGAAAAGCCGTTCTGTATGTACTGTTGCCCAGCTTGTTTGATCTCAGCATCATTCTACGCAGGGCCTGATCTTGCGCTGATGTTCAGATTCTCTCCATGCCTTTCTCCCCAAAGTTTGGTCTCCAGGATCCAGACTGGTCTTCATTTGTCTAATTATCCTTTGAGGAAGGAAGCTGATCTATCAACTAAAGCCACGCTAATTATCCAAATCAAGCTCGTTGCTACTTAAAAAGGCACAATTAGCTTTTCTCCAGCAAGTAAAGAGGATTCAGAGTTGTGTAATACAAAACCCTAGATACACAGGGCCAAGCCTGGCTACATTTAAATGTTATTTTGCAAACAATGAGTGTTTCAGAAAGAAATTAAGTTACTAATCCCATCCCGTTTTTTTTACTTATTTTCTGATACCATAACTGAATTTTTGGCTTGCATAATCACTTTTAAACTAAGCAGATTTAACAATGATTAAATTCCTTTGAGAACAGATGCTCAGGAAACGATCAGAACTTCTATCCCACACAATTACAAGTAATCGCCATCGTACAGGTAACAAGCCATTAGATGGGTACCATATTATGCAAGTACTAGAATAATGACAACTATGCAAAACAAAGCAAAGGCAGGAAAACTCTGTGTATCCCTTTACTTGTTTCCCAGACCCATAAGCTGAAAAATTTCCCTTTCACTCTCAATACGTAAAATATTTTCCACTATGTTGATCTCAGATGACAGCAAAATTACTTGCCTTCTCAGTTCTGTCCAGTTTGTAAGAGGTGAAAAAGAATCGTTAATGACAACTTCTAACAGCTTAAGGAATTAAGTTATTTTCAGAGCTTATCAGGAATCACAAGTGCCCCTGAAGAAGATGGCCCCCTTATAAGATTTATACTGAACAGTCAGTTGACAATACTACCGGGGAAGTGGTAAAACTTGTGTTTGAGAACCCTGCAGTCAGAGAAAGTTAAAGCCTTGAAAATATTGCTTTATACATCTTCACCCTTCCATCAGAAGGCTGGAAGAGCCCCAGACACAACAGCAATCACACAGGAAATTAACACATTTAAAAGCCAAAGGGTACTGCTTCACAAAAGGTTCAAGCTCTGCTGCTGGAGACATCTACGTGATGGCCCTTCATGGTACGAAACAGAGCATATAGATGCTTTCCTCCAGTGACCAGGAACTATGACTAGCTATAATGGAGATAAGATTAAGCAAGTTCCACTACACCAGAAGAAAAGAAAAATTGCAAGCAGTGTATGCGCTCAGGGCACAGGCTGCAAATAGGACAGCTCTGTGTAACAATTTGAAAATCAGGACATCTGAAAAAACCTGTGTCATAAGTCAGAAATATAAAGTCAGTAGAACACCACTAACCTGAAACCTTCCCCTTGCACTTAAGTGCATTTGGCTTTACCTCTAGGCCCCTTATCATAACCCTATACACTCATACATAATTGTCAAATACGCCACAGTTTCTTCAGCTCTTTAGAGATGCACATCTACCTTTTTAATCACAGAATTCCACCAACCTGGGGGAAGGTGGGGCGGGGGGGTGGAAATCCCATTTTGACTTAAATTTTGCATTTTAAGTTGTGTTGAGCATAAGCCGGGTACAAGTTATAGGAGGTGGCCTCCACAGCCACTCCACAGTCTGAATACCACTCCCCCCAAACCCTCTTGATAAGAATAGGTACAAAACACATAGTACAGATTTAAAGACTCTGGTTTGTTCCCTATCCCTCTTCTCCCATGCTGAGCTCACTCTGTTCATTTCCTCCAGTCCAATATGAATTCTACTTGGACATAAAACCTAGCTTTGACCCGTTCTGCCTCTTAATCTGTCCAAACGTCCTCTCACAGGGACCTGTTCAGAGCAAGCGTATATTAGTTTGTCAAGGTCAGCTTCACAGAAGAAACAACACAGAAAAGAGGGTCAGATTTTGGGGAGGGGAGTTTGAAAGAGGAAGCTAACTTTATGTATCTATAGAGAACACACATCATCACCAGAAACATCCAAGATTTCTGCACCAAGGCAATTCTGACACGTCCACCCTTTCTCCTAAAAAACACTGTGGCGTTCTGAAAGATGAGTGTACTTTCATAAAGGTAACAGAAAAAGCCTCCCCAGATATATTCTCTTTAATGATAAGGGAGAGAGGCATATCTCGGATGTACGATGGCAATGCATTCAAATCAACATGATACATCTTCCAGGAAATAACTTCTTTATTTTAGGCTTCGTCTGATTTTAGGGTTTTCCTCTTCTAATTTAAATCAGAGAGAGCAAAATTCTGATACTCATTCAACACTAGATTAGTAACTGGTCAGCCTCCTATTTTAACAGATGTACTTGAAGTATTAAACTTACATTTCAGAATCAACCTGACTATAAATCAAAAGAATTCAGTGACAAAGCCGCACACAAAACAGTGAGCATGTATGCATATATTTTGTGAACGATAACTAAGTCACAACTGCATAAACAGATTCTTTGAAGCCACTAATGCTCTCATTTACAGATTTGACACATTTGCAATTAGTTTAAAATTAGGATTAGAAAGGATGTATTGAAACACTCCCTTTACTGCGAGTGAATAGGATATGACATTTAGGCACCTCTGTTTTCTAGAAGAGCCAAACAGGGATTTAAGAAGGATTTTTTTATACCCTGCTACTGCAAATCAGAAGTGACTAATAGGGCATCACAGTAAAGCATTTTTCTATTTTGCTGACGTTAGGCCATATGTTTAATACAACCCAAATCTTTTCTTAAGTAAAAATCCCCCCCAAAAAATCAAACACACCGATTCATTGAAAAAAAGCTTTCTATACAAGTATAAAACACTCCCGGGAAGGAAGTTAACTGGCCTCTAGTGTAAAAGCAAATATTAACAGAGACAAAGGAAGGCGATAATCTGATGCACACTGAATGAATCTCTGGGCTCAGATTCTAATCCTGAGAACGCAAAATTATATTTGAGGGAGAAGTTATTTAGCCAAGCTGTTGTAACAGCTGATCTGGTGATTTGGGTTCACCTTCTGTCACCAGTACACGGTACCTGCTTGAGTTCAAATTTATTTTTTTTTTTAGTATCACATACTGTAGAAAAAAAATTAATGGCATACAGACCTGGTTTCCCCCGGCATTATGACATTCATAAACTCCAACAACACCATCTGCAAAATGGCCCAAAGTGTCAAGGCAGTTGGTACCCTGCTGCAAAGCCCCAAAAGCTATATCTTGATGATCAGGTACCCTAAAATAAAACCAGAAATATCTGCTTAATTAAGGTGTTTTTTTGTGTTTGTTGTTAGTTTGTTTTGGGTTTTTTTTGGTTTTTTTTGTTTGTTTCTTTGTTTTTTAAGTCCTTGTCTTTACTTGGAGTATTTTTAAGATGACAGGTTAAAGATGAGTGTGATGACTACTATCTGGAAATCTCAATCAACTTCTGAGGAAGGAAGGCAATTATCTGATCATGAACTGATCAAACACAAGTAAAGTCGCAAGCTTAGGACAGAATACAAAAATAATTGTACCAGAGAATGACGACGAACATACAAACTCAGCACAAAAAGCAAATTAAGGATGACTTAACATCATCATTTAAGGTTGCTCAAGCTTAATGCTATCAGTTAAGGTCATCAAGCCCTCTTGTTTTTTCAGCCAAGTCAGCTTGTGGCAGAAATATGACATTCTACTTTTTTCCCAGACTGTTTTTACTGAAGTGTTAGAAAAGGGGTTAGAAATTAAAAAAAAAAAAAAGAAATCAATGTTTTGCTGCTATCTATTGTCTAATGGTTGCACATAAAGTGCACTCATATAATATGGAAATACCTAGGCAAACCCATTTAACAAAGTACAGTTGTGGGGTAGAGACAATGAGTTCATGTCAAACAGTAAAGCAAGGGCACGTTAGCTCCTTTTAAAACTTCAGACTATAATGTGAGTATAATAATTCAAGCCAGCAGAATGAGCGTATGAGAGATGACACAGAGTAAGACAACATAACACTTAAGCAATGCTTCTTGTAGCACATTTTCCAGGAGAGCTTGCAAGACGTATTTTTTCTGACAAATTAAACAAAAATAAATATCCTCTGGCACTTTTAAGGGAAAATAAAGAATAACTTACTTCCTCAGCATCATCCTGGTTTATGAGACTCTTTAGTATGTGTGGTTCTGTACATGCTTCACTGGGGCTGTAATGGTGCTTTTGCATTCCAAGCCTGTATGCCCCTAGCAGTTACCTGACTCTACTGACATGAAGTGCCCTCAGGAAAAAACCAAGTATTCTTATAAGCCATATACAGTATCTTACCATTACACTACCAATATTAGGTTGACAGCAGACAAACTAGTTCATAGGCTCGGATCTGACAGACACACTTATTAACAGGTTATTGAACAAAAACCTTTTTATCCTTTCGAAAAGTGTTTCTCTTTCAGGATTTTTCATTAGTTTGGATGCATTCATGTTACAGAAACTGTTAGCAATGTTACCCCTCTTTTCCCTCTTACCACCCTCCCCAAAAAAGTTAGAGATAATGCAGTGACAGAACAAGACACAGAAAGAGCAGAAGACTCAGCTTCTTAGAGTCTTAAGCATCTACCCTTGCCTGCCAAATATACAAGGCTCTCTTGTCAGCTGGCTCCCATTACTTGTACTGTACAGAGATGCAGTCTCCTCACTCAGCTAGGCATGTGCTTAGGCAAAGGCCAAAGCTTTAAGGGGATGACAACAGGATACAGAACAGTGCACTTTGGAGCAAACGGCTTGTGTAGGAGACTAACTTCAGGCTCAGATAAGTTGAGTCCTTTGGACGTTGTTCTCTAAAATACCCGCTACTGCAGCTGTAGTTGCGGTAGGTGGAAAAAAAAAAAAGCAAGCAGCTTCCTAGGGAAAAATGGCTGTTTAGGAACAGAACTAATAAAACACAAAAGCAAATAAGCCCACATGAGACATTGCTTTCACAAATAAATTAAAAACCATCCTTTACATTCAAGAAAGGAGAAGGAGAAACTGATGATTTCTGGGGAGAACAAAAAGAAAAAACCAACAAAGAAAACCCCAACAACTCCATACTATCTCTGATTCAGCCAAAACTCACCGTAACTCAGGATAAACATTTTCAAGATACCACTTGAAGGGTTTGCAGCTAAGTCTCTTTCTGAGTTCCATTCGGCTTTGAATACTAGAGGGGGAAAAAAAGGAGCAGTTTTCAAAGTCAGGCTGCTGTCTTCATATATGTTAAGGAATACACAGAAAACTCAAGAACAGTAGAACTATATCTTAAAGACATAACACATGAGAGCTAGCACTGCTTTTACCTCAGAAGGTGCTGTCTCGAAGAATAAGTGAATAGGGCAAAGAAGCACTTGTGACTTACTTGCCATAAGGTACATTCCTGGCTGAAGGCACTGCTGCGTAATAGAAATTTTTATACTCATCCATCCAGACTTCTGCTGCCCTGCGTGTATTTCTAGGGACAATCATATGAAACACATAGGTTATATTTTCTCTAGCTGCAATTAAACCATGTAATTTATCCTTGGGTTTATTTTAATCCTTCCTAGTACTACATAGTCAGCTGCCTCAAGCCAGGCAGAAGATTCCCTATTAAAAGACCCAAGTAATAGAAAACTGTTAGAGAGTAACATAACTGAAATCGATGCATTAAAAATGAAATTTGTTTTTTCCACACTCATCACTGCTTCAGGTTTTCAGCCAGAATTTAATACAATACAATAAAATTAAATAAATACAACAAAATTTTTGGAGTTCCTTCTGCAGACTTCATGGAAATTGTTTGGTGTTGGTTTGGTTTTTTTGTTTTTTTTTTTCTTTTTCTTTTTACAAAAAGTAACTTGACAGAAGCCAAATTCAGTGAGTGTTCACCTGGATAAGCAAGCTAGTTGGAAACATAAAAATCTCAACAATTGGCAATATTTAATAATGTCTTTTGCCTTTCTGAAAACAGACATGCTAACTTAGGCAAGACGTATTTTCAGTCTTCACCCTATTCCTACCAAAAGAGCAAACTTCCAAAAAGACATAAGCTGTTATTTAAGGCTATGAACAAAGCAAGTCTGCTATAGCTGAGGTAACAGAGGAGAACGAGTAATTAGAAAATATTTTTAATGCTTTAAAATTCAAGAGAGATTAATTATTGGAATAAATATGAAAAACACTAACCCAAATTCTTTACTTCTAATCAAGCACATCTCTAACTAAAATTCCTGTATTTATGTAACTGGTGTCTTTAAATCTCCTTTTGGACTGCAAGAGGGTAATGTCTTTTTCCATCGCCTGGCTTCCATGTAAAACTCATTTAACTTCTATTGTTTGTAATTTTATGCTTAGAAAATTAAGTCTTATTTCACTTGCAGCTGCCACGCTCTGAAGCTTATTTTACATTTGGCAGCAAGTTCATCTAAAGCAACTGGAGTAAACTCAAGTCAGCCAGTAACGGCTTTAATATGATTTTTCCAATTCAAAATACAAAAAATAGTCAGGATAGTGAGTTCTTCTTGCAGGTCCCTGAGAAGGAAGGACGTGAGGAAGAAAAAAAAGTCACAAGACAGACCTCAGTCATTTTTTGTTTGAGGACTGATTTTTCCTTGCAGATTCCTGTAAACTTCTTGTAAGCAAAATCCCATTCACTCCAGATTAGAGAGCTATTTCAGCTTATCCTCACCTGCAGTCTCTCAGGCCTGTGTGAGTGTCAGCCAGGCACTCAGCACCGGCCCCTGCTGCTTGCTCAGCCATCAGCTTGGCTGCCCGCAGGCCAAACAGATTTTGGTGGTGGGAGAAGAATTTGGTTTGCCAGGGTTTAGTTACTCCAAAGGCACTTTCAAGGCCAGAACGCATGCCTGCATCACACTTCCCCGTGCTCAGGGATGAACAGTTCAGGCTTAGCACGACACAAATATAGGAACTGTGTAGATGCTGAGAACTGCCTAAACTAACAAGACCCCCAAAGAAGGCAGGGTACTGAGAAACACAGCGTAGGGTGCACTCCGCACTTAACGCGGAGCCACAGTTCATGAAACCTAGCCCTGAGTGATCAGAGGTAGCCTTCCATGGAGCAGACTGCCATCTGCAAGGTTTACTAGCTCATCTGAAGCGGTGTATTAAGGCAGCGCATACTGGTCTGACTAACCCTACCAGACACAAGCTGTATCGGCCCACACCACACAGCCAGGATGTGGTCTCCCCTCTCATGAAATAGGACGCCCAGTCTCTCATCCAGAATCCCCAATTTGTTTTGGCTGCCAAAAGGCAGTGCATACTGACTAGTCAGCTAAAAACAGGACGTTTACCCAGAGCACTCCAGAACAAATGGCGTGCAGTCAAGGGACAGATGATGGTATAAGCTATCAGGTCCCAGCTGCAACACCAGCACAGATTCCATGCACCAAGTTCCTTGGCACCCTGGTCCTACACATAATACCTGTATTACGAAGGTATCCCATTACCTTAGGTTTCTCATTCTCTCATTGCTAAAATTGATTTTAAGGCATTGTTATATTGGTTTGATACACAAGAAAGCTGACTGAGGAGGAAACCTTCAAATATATAGCCGCTTGTCAACCCTGCTTTTAAAGTGATATGTAACTTTTCTAGGTCAATTAAAAAAATAATTCCAATGAAACAAAGAATTTTAAGGACATTTCAGAGTTTGGGACAGCTGGACAGCTAAGGACAAAGGTAATACACCACTTGCAGAGAAAGGTAGATCTGGAAAGGGATGTAAGTACCCAAGACGCTAGTTTGCAAGCTTCAGCTGTCCTCACCATTCAACTACATGTGGGATCTCTTTTCAAAGTCATTTTGAAGACAAATGACTGGAAAACACAACGTGACTTTAAAAAAAAACCCTGTCATAGTAATTGTCAGGACATTTGAGTGACCAAATCACAATGACAATTTGACTTCACAACAAATTCCAAAAGCTTTAACCCCAGTACAAACGCAGAATCTTCAGCCCCCGCTAATATGATGCATTTCTGATGTCTGCTGTATCCTTCCATGCGTACAGCCACACCCTTTTCCTACTTTTTAGTTGAGCTATGCTGAAGTACCTATTTAACGTCACAAGGAGAGCAGCATCTTGGCAACAGCCCACAGATAGAAAAGCTGCAGAGGAGGGGAAAAACTGCACAATTTATATATTTATTTTTATTAACCTACTCCTTGTTACGACATTGTCATTTTAAAACCTACCATGAAACTAAAACAGTTGCATCCTAAGCCTACATAATACAGTTTAACTGGTAGATCCTTCTACCCTCCTGATGCACGCTATAAATACTGAATAGAGATGTGATGTATTAAGAGAGGATATTTCATTACTAGCTTTTGTTTTCCCTTAAGTACTATTATTCATTTTTCACTGTAGAATAAAATTAAGATCTCAAAGAATAGGGGACCAGAAAAATCCCTGCTATAACTACTGGAAGAAACAGGACAGCAACTTTATTTCAGCAGACTATTAAATTCATTAGAGTCATCTTGGTGGCATAACCAGCATGGAAGAGAAGAATTAAACCCCTAAGGAGGTTCCTCAATCTAAGGTGAAACACAAGTCGAAATATATCAGCAGCTTAGAACATTCTTACAAATATAAGCCCATCTGTGCTCTGTTTTGCTTCATGTTAAACAGAGATTGGGCTCCATATCCCTTCAAGGATAAATAAACAATTTTATTTGCAGCTCTTAACTTACAGAACTTTTAGCTGAGACATGTTTCTTCAGCCCCCCGAGCATCAAGCCCAATTCTCTAAATCAAAAACCTACAGTGATTCTTCAGCTACAACTGATAGAGCCTTGGTCAAAACATCTGCCACACACTCATGCAATACCTTCATCCACATTACTTAAAAAACACTATGCACCTGAATCAGAATTGCTATTCTCATTCTACAGAGGAGAAACTGAGGAAATAGCTCAGTATTTCAGCTACCACCGTATACTGAATCAACAGCAAAATTAACAGGCATATTAATCTAAGCCCTTAATACTGCAGTTTCTTAGGTCTATAGAAAAAGCATTTTTAAACATAGCACAGGAAAGGCAAATATGATATAGAATGAAGTTGCCAACAGACTGGCACAAATGCCAGAATCAGTCTACATAATCACTTGTATATCACATACCAATCACGTATTAACAAAAAGCAAGCGAAGCATATTCATAACATAAGTGTATTCTGGCTCTTAGTGAATGATGAAACTGTTTCTATAAAATGAAGATTTATGAGATAGTTCAGAAAATAAAGCCTTCTTTAAAACCAAATAAACACAAAGTTCTTGAAATTGATAGAATGCCAGGCTAAGCATTTCCTTCTTTTCCAGATTCCCAGGCTGTGTCTACTACAAGTTTTCCTTTTTCAGCTCTCAGGTTCTTCTCTCAATCTGTGTATTTGCCTCAAAGTCATTAATTTCCTTTTAATTAATATTTTTCCACGCTAGATAATATTGCAAATATTTCTAAAGGAAGGATCCTTAAAATGAAGTTACTGCCACCCGCTGATCATCTGAAGAAATCCAAAACATTGCTACTTAGCTGAAGACTTGACTCAGCAGTTACCTTGCAAACACGGTACCACTCCCACCAGGAAAAGTGTAAGGATGTTGTTTGCGGAATACGTGACCCACTCTGCTGCAAGGGATGATTTCTAGGCTCCCACCGCATTGCCAAACTCGGAATGAGATCTCTGAAATAAAAAGATGAAAGACCAACATCACAACATACTGTAATTTTGTAGTATACTATTTACAGAGAAGGGGTTTATTGACTATTGCTGAGAAGGTCAATAAGATAGTTTTCTGAGAAATGCCAATGTAAACAAAGGCATATCTGAGCATTTATTATTCTCCAAGCTCTAGAGAAATAATCATATTAACTTGGAAGCAAAACTCTGTCTTCTCTTATCTGAGGTTACCAGCATTCCCCAAATTCATAAACCATGCTGCAATTTGTCAGAATAAGTTAGGCCTATATATACCATTATTGTGCTTTACCTAAAGGGTAAGCAACAGTTGATACACTTAACAGATAAATTAATGATCTAGCTTATAATAAATTTTTTTCAGCTAAAGATGGAATAACACAGTGGACAAAATCAAGTCATGACAAAACAATCAGCAGATTCAAGCTGCTAGCTTACTATAGCAGATAACCAAATGCTCCCAAACACTGGCCAAGGAAGGAGTTACACGAAGTCAATCTTGATTTGAAGACAGACTGAATAAAGATGCAACTTCTGTAAACTGAAGGTTATGGACAGCACACTTCTAAGCCAATCTAGTGAGCTGACCCAGCTAGTGAGGACAAGAAGGTCTAGAAATATTTATACACCTTTCTCAACCTAGACCTTTGACAGCAGAAGTCACCTAGTGCTGGCAGAGAACTTTTCCTCATTCATTCCAAATAAGTGCAGTAAGAAGGGTGCTTCCAGTAGCACTGTTTCAATTTTGATGATTCCTCATTTAGTCCAGCAGCTGCTACCAGTTATTGAGTGCTACCCTCAGTTTCAAGCCTCTTCATAATCATTCAGTACCTTTCCACAGATTTAAAAAAAAGGCAGCTCTAATTTAAAGTCAGTGTCTATCTTTTGACTTACACTAAGTGCCATTCCTTCCCCCAGAAGCCTTCCTCCCACATACACAAAATAAGTCCTAAAAATATCATTACTTCAAAAATTAAATTTGGAAAAAAAAAAAACCAAAACCAAACCCCAAACGGTAGAGAGCATGTCATCTTGATGGTCTGTCCAGAGAAAAAGGAAAGAAAAAAAAAAAGAAAGAAAAAAAAAAGTGCTGTGATTTCAACTGTTGACAGTGCAAGTTAACTGCCTTTTTTCTGAATGGTCTTTGCTTTTACCAGGATCATTTCCTATTTGTTTTACTTCAGTGATAAATTCTGTTGTATCGGGGCCAATTAGGCATATTCATGAATCCTAGACAGTCCACATAGTCCAACCTACAGACAGATCATCCTCCACAAATATTGACAATATTGTCTTTGCCAGTAGCTTACAGTCTTTATTTTCCAGTTGAATTAACGTGGGACAATAGGCAAAAGTAATTTTTAAAGCAACTGACATTCTCTCTGTACATTTTTCACAGCACTTACTTCAGTTTTATACCTCAGATTTTGAGCTTAGAATGAAAAAAAAAAAAAAAAAGAGAATCACAGTAAATGACTGGTCACTGCTTCTATTAAACAAATTAGTAATAAAAGCACTTCTATGATTCTACCAGAATAAATTACACCGAGATAGAAGGCTTTCCCATATCTAGCTCAAATTATGAAAGCAAAGGAGTAACAGTTGTCTTGTACCACTTTGAAGCACTATTTATGGAGTTTTGCTAGAAAGTTCATACAGTTATTAGCCCAACATGAGGGGATGCTGCACTCAGTGAGGACAGCCTAGTGAAAGAAGACAGGAGATCTGATCAAAGATAAAGGCTTTTGCATTAGACAAGCAAGTGCAGACTAAACGCTCAAAATCTAATACTAGACTTATTTAAGAATTAGGAAATACACGCCTCTGAAATGAGGTAAAGTGAGATTCTGGTTAAAAATAAAGTTCAATGCAGTGTCTTTTTTTTTTTTTTTTTTAAATTATTCATTTGAAGGTTTAATCCAAAAAGTCACTGTCATCTATTGAATGTATGTAGGCATTGAAAAAAGTATTTTTGTTTTAGAAGTAATTTAGAAATATCTTGTGTCAACTTTTTTCATTATCCATAGCTTCCTCTACTGTGTACATTAATTTGATTCATTCTCCCTCCATAAATTCCCAGAAATGTAAACCTACATGTACACTTTCCAGCACCTTAGATTCTGAAGAATCTCAAAAAAAGTGAAAATGATGAAAAATAGCTCTACGGGAAAGACAGCAAAGGACTAGTAAATAGGGAGACGCAAACTAATTCTTATTTGCGCCTACATGGCTTCTAAAGCCTGCATGGATTTTTTTTAAAGAAAAAGGAATGTACAGCAACTAAAACTTAAAGAAACCCCATAAATTCCCTTATGACATCTTTTTTGCCATACTCAAATAGTGGGAGAAGAAATTTTACTCTTGTAACAATTTCAGTGGATACAGTTTTTCATTAAAAAGGCATAAACAGCATGTCAAACATTCTTCAATTGCATGAGATTATGTTACACCTCTTAATAACAGATTTGCTCTTTTTATTGCAGTGTGTCATCGATATAGAAGACAGGGAATGTCTTACTCACTCCCTGATTTTAGCAAAATTACTAAGAAAAGCCTAGGTTGTCAAATTAGACCCAAACCTTCTAATGGCCCATCCAGTTCTCCAGTGTACTCCAATCCTCCTATGCTTATCAAAAAGCATTGTAAAGATTCTGAGAATTAGAGTTTACGAATTCAAGACAAGACTGAACAAACTTTGATCCACATTTTGTACAGCAAGCATGTGTTATCAGTCATATAAAGCAACAATCTGAAAATGCACTGTATCTTCATGATAGGAGCTGTCTCTTGGCTAATTTAGGCAAAATATTGCAGGCCCATCTTGAAATTTGTAAAGTTGAGACCATACTAATAAGTGAACAAAATCTCATATAACAGCTGCTCTGTACATGCTTGAAGGAAAAATACTGAATTTTATAAAGCATAAATATAATGTATACAATTATTTTGCAAGTCCATCTAGCAGGTTATTTGCATTTAACATCAAGCTGCTGATCCAGAGATATGCTCGAGAGTAGAGGTGCCTGACGAGCGTGCATGTTGAATTTTAAACTGCACATCACAGATTTCCAGTATCTGGTGCATGTGTCATTTATTGCCAATTAAATCATAAGCCACGTGATTTTTACTCATCTTCAGTTAATCTGGCAGCTATGAACAAATCGTGAGCTGTCTGCTGTAGTGACTGACTTTGCCTTTTCAGGGAGCAGAGCAAAGGCACCCCGAAGTCTCCATCTCCTCCTTCCCACGGAGAAGCAGGAACAGAATGCAGCAGGAGCAACATGAACAGCTTTTTGCATGCAGTCTTCTCACCTTGAGTAAGGAGCTGTTACTTGTGCCCTTTGCTGCTATCAAGGCCTCAATTATCAAAGCATAAAAGCAGCTGATAAATTTTCAGAAAAAACTCGGTCGCTCAAGTACATGCTTGCAGCTAATCAAATATTTAAGTGCTCTAGTGGCAAGAGAGGTTTTCAGAGTGAATGCAAGTATTGCCGTAGTAAGTTTATCCAATGACTTTCCACGACATTTAAAAAATGAAAAATTATGATATTCATATTAATACAATTTAGCAATATACAGCCAAAATAGTAAGAAAACAGAAACACAGAAAGTAATTGTTCAAAGCACATAAGACATTTCTTCGAGTATTGCATAGGAAGGTCAGAGACTGGACTGTAAGGATGCCTCTTCCAGCCTTTAAGTTCCTTACAAGAATGTTAAACATTTGGTTACCATGTCTCCATACTTAGTGTGCTGTATACAGCAGACATTTCCTTGTAGGTCAAGCATATGCTCAATGCATATGCATATTTCAGTAACTCAAAATACCCATGGGTTTTTACAAGTTCAAGGTATTTTAGGATTTTGCAGCTAGCACGTGCAGTAGAGAAGTTTCTATCCTTAGAACTGGTCCTAACACACACAACATCGCCACAAAGGATGAGGAGAGGGCTGAGGTACTTAATGCCTTCTTTGCCTCGGTCTTTAATAGTCAGACTGGTCATCCTCGGGGTTTTCAGGCCCCTGAGCTGGGAGATGGAGATAGGGCAGAGTGTGAAGCCAGTTGCCGAAGAAGTGGCAGTCACTGACCTGCTCCTCCACCTGGATGCTCACAAGTCCATGGGGCCAGACGGGATCCACCCGAGGATACTGAGGG